GAGAGTATAAAGAAAAATCATATAAACAATATCAACAAAATTATTAATTGCCAAGAAAATATAAATTTGTCTTAAAAAAGCAAGCTACACAAAAATGAATTTATTATATAACTAAACAAAGGAAGACAAATGCTTGAAATAAAAATGGATTCCACGTGTACTATACTTTGTTCTGTGATACGATAAAAGGTAAGCAAAGAGACAATGTTATTTCCGTATATTTATCCGCATTTCAAACGTTATTCGCGACATTATTCGTTTCGTGTACTCGATGCTTCCAAACATGGCGCAGCGATTCAGACAATTCGAATGAAAACGAAAAGCTTGCGTTGAAAAGTTACATCTACACGTAGCTATGCAATTCCCCATGTGACTGGCTAGCTCTTGTTCCTCGGACATCAAGTGTAATTTATCGAAAACTGGTTCCAGACGCGCATAAGCCATTGCGGAATTAAGTCACCTAAAATGCATCAAATGACGAAGCTGGCTATCTATATGGAAATCCTCGAAATCGCGTGGTGGTGCAAATATGGAGCTTTCTCGATGGGTATCGAAGCCATCGTTCGTTCGATTTGCACAGATCAGCGCTTAGGCGAGTCGTAAAGTTCTCTGCAGCATGAAATTCGTTGGGAAAAAATCGCACGTGTCAACAAGTCGATCTCTGTTACGTTGTTGCATAAGCTATTTAATTTATTTTAGCAGCACTGGCATATTGTAAACCGGATTTGCTATCTTAAATCTATTGTAACTGAGCTACTACTCCTAGGAACAAATTCCGCAATTGCATTATCCACGTATCTAGTAGCCCTAAGCTGGGCTAAAACCTAGCCTATGCTAAACAATGTTATTTACGGCATTGCGTCAGTGGTGGAATTTTTATTTAAAATATCTTTAAATAAATATCTTTACACGGGGAACGAAAAAGGAGCGGAAAAGTGTACTTAACGTTGAGATTTTACTTGGTGCTTGGTATTGATTTATAAATTAGGTAATTGATGGAAATCTTGTTTTGCTAAGTATTAATATTTCGTAATATCAGGTTTTCAAATTGTTTAATATTAATGTAACGCTTGTAATATCAAATTTTTCATTAATTTAATAACAACGTAACGTTTGAAATGTCTAATTTTTGAATTTATTTGATGTTAACGTAACGTTTGTAATATCTAATTTTTGAATTTATTAAATATTAAATATTAATGTAACGTTTGTAATATCTAATTTTTGAATTTATTAAATATTAAATATTAATGTAACGTTTGTAATATCTAATTTTTGAATTTATTTAATTTTTGTAATTTTCATTAATTCATAATAACGTAACGTTTGTAATATTTAATTTTTTAATTTATTTAATATTAACGTAACGTTTGTAATATCCAATTTTTTATTAATTTAATATTAACGTAACGTTTGTGGTATCCATTTTTTCATTAATTTAATATTAACATAACGTTTGTAGTATTCAATTTTTTAATTTATTTGATGTTAACGTAACATTCGTAATATCCAATTTTTGAATTTATTTAATATTAACGTAACGTTTGTGGTATCCAATTTTCCATTAATTTAATATTAACGTAACGTTTGTAATGTCTAATTTTTTAATTTATTTGATGTTAACGTAACGTTTGTAATACCTAATTTTTGAATTTATTTAATATTAACGAAACGTATGTAATACCTAATTTTTGAATTTATTTAATATTAACGAATCGTATGTAATATTAAGTTTTAAATTAAAAAATAATTTACAGAATAATAATAAAATAATACAAAATATGAAAAATAACACTGGTTATTACGATTTCACTCGATGATGATTTACATATAGAGTAGTTGATGGAAAGTGTTGTTTTATTGTTTTACTGATTACTCATATTTTGTAATATTAATTTTTTAATTTATCAAATATCAATGTAACATTTTTCATATATTGAGTTTGAAATTAAAAGTAACATACGGTGAGTAATAATAATGGATACAATATAAAATGCGAAAAAATATACCGAGTATTAAGGTTTATTTGATATTAATTTAGTAATAATATAATATTAAAAATATTGAGTTTAAAGTTAAAAAGTAACGTATGAAGAATGTTAATAATATAAATTTGCGGATATTAACGTAATTCCTGATGAAAATGCACTGGAGCTGTATCTACTTTATAATCTTATAGCGAAATTAAAGTCCTGTTAGTCGATGGAATCTATTTATAAGAAGGGGAAATTTAAGTATGAAATTTAAAGCGTAATAAGAGATTTTATAAGTATAATGTTATATTAAGCACATACACGTATGCATTGCTTACGTATGATTATGCTCGACTGTAATTATAACCGAAACATATTTTTCTCAACAATTTACACACAGATATATTTAAACAATCGTATACAACAAATAAAAAAGTTTCGTATTTTTGTTACCTAGAAATTATACTTAAGCACAATATAATACGATATAATATAATTGTCTTACCTTTGATAATATTCATATTAAAATATTCATAGTAAAAGTCGAATAAGTCACGAGTTAATTAAATTACCCGTTACTAGACTATGAAACTCACATTAATAATTAATAATTAAATTATAAAAGAGCAGAGAATTCAATGAAACTGTTTTTGTCTCGCATATAATATGGTTTTATCTATTCCAATCCTTTTATTGTCGTATTCTAATTAATTCTCTGTACATTTGCATATCGCTCGTACGAATAGTATGCTGGTTCATACTTTCCTTGAGATAATATTAGATTCATGTATGTAAAATATTGCAAATCAAGATAGAATGCACTAAATAACGCAAAAATATATGACATTTATATTGATATATAAAATCTACTAGCTTATCCGTCTTTAATATTTAATTTTACGTCGTCCATTACGAAAATATCAAAAAATTTTAATCGTAAAATATTTCGAATCAACGTAAAATGTACTAAGTGACATTAAAAGCACTCAACACGCGTACAAATTAGTCTTCGATTATAATAACAACTATAGTTTTCAATCAGAATAAAAATAATCCCGTTTTAGAAAATAACAATTTCGAATATTAAAATTTAAAAATTTTCAAAATTCCTCATTCACTCGAACGATCGACTAATTCCAAATTTTATACTGTTATCAACGTTAACCAGCTGCATAGAAGCTCCACCTAGAAATAATTTCTTTACGATGTCACATTTTCATCGGGAAACGATAAAAAAGAAAGAAAAGGTATTTTATCACAGTCTTCGATTAAAATAAAAATAATCCCGTTTGAGAAAATAACGATTTCGAATATTAAAATTTAAAAATTTTCAAAATTCCTCGTTCACTCGAACTAATTTCGACTAATTTCAAATTTCATACTATCAACGTTAACGAGCTGCATAAAAGCTCCGTGTGTCGTCTTATTATTCACGGAAAAATGGCGCTACCTAGAAATAACTTCTTTACGATGTCACATTCTCATCGGGAAACGATAAAAACAAAGAAAAGGAATTTTATCACAGACATTGATCTATTGGGTTGGCAACAAAGTAATTTCGGTTTGCATCGGTAAATAATGTTATGCTTGTTTAGTTATTCTTTTGTCAATGTTAGAATTTTTTTCTTTTCAGATGTGGTAGTCGATACCTTTAGATTGCTATTTCGTGAAATTCCGCGTAATTTCGTTTACAACTGTCAGTTCACGGTCAGTCTTAACATGGAGTGCAAAAATAAGCATTTTCGACACATTTTACTTTTTTATTTTCATAAAGGCAAGAATGCGGCTGAGGCTCGCAAAGAGATACGAGAAGTTTATGGTGTCGATTGTTTAACAGAACGCACGTGTCAGAATTAGTTTAAAAAATTTCGTTCTGAAGATTTTTCACTGAAAGATACCCACAACGTTCTGGTCGACCTTCTGAGATTTACGCACTTGGTTAAGTTTTCTGCAGATAAGGACCAGAAATTCCATGAGCGCGGGATCATGAAGTTACCAGAAAGGTGGCAAAAGGTCATCGAATGGAATGGAAGATATTTGACCGATTAAAGTTCATTTACCGTATAGAAAAAATTGAGTTTTATTTCACACTAAGAAACCGAAAGAACTTTCTTGCCAACCCAATATATCATTCGAACCAGAGAAATCCGACTAAATACACGCGTAAAAATTCCGTATTCGTTATGTAACGAGTAAATATTTAGGGTGCATCGAGAACGAGGCGAAAGAGTGGTGACGAGGTGTAATTTCCACGCACGTACCCGGAGACGTTGTTCTCGCGGTGCTGCTGCATGCTCCATTTGTAGATCGTAAACGCTAAACATTCAGCTATAACATCTCTATGTGCTTTTACCAGCCGTGTCTTATCTTCCTGCAATTTGTTTTTTACTTCGTATATCACCCGTATACCGTTCGCGATATCGCGCAAACTCCGTGTATCTGGCTGGACAAAAAGCGCGGAAAGGTCCGGAATAGGTAGTGAAAATCTTGAAACGACTCTTAAGGATGAACGTAACGCGAGGAGCAGGAAAATACGCGGATATTAACTACCTGGAAAGTTAATCAGCGACCCAAAGTCTGGTCCAGTTTCAGCTGGAACACACGTCTCAAACATGGCTGAAACATGGCTGGAGCATGGCTGTAATATGCTGCGACGTCGATAGGTGATTGGTAGGAAAAAGTATGCTGGTCCAGGAGTTACGTTATATTACGACACGCGATATACGTTAATTACAGCATAGCAAACGCGAGGTCTCGATGGCACGGTTGCAAGAACGTTATGCATATTTATATTGGTAATTTAAACATACCGAGGCAAATCAAGGTGAGCTTATTTAATACATGCATGCATCGCGCATCAGGAGCGCTGGTACGAGTCGGATTTCCTTATGAACTAGCTCGCTTAATATTCGATCAAGAGGTCATGAAAATACCAGTTTTTTCGCGCTCGTCGCACAGACCGATCCAGCAACGACGTCGAGCACGATAACGATAGCTCGAAGACAATAAAATGAAGGCCGTGCGTACCTGGAAGGAACGATGGTGAGGATGATGGGGATGATGAAACTGCGGTGTGTGAATCATGTCGCCGGTCTCAGGATCCTCGCACTTGGATGACTTCGTGACCTCGACGCTGCTCGAGCTGGTAATAGCCGTCTCGTCCTTTGCACTCGTCGATTCTCCGATCCTATCTTTTTCCTTCTTCTTCACTTCCGGCTTCGTTTCCTGTGTGCACAGCTTCGGTATTACAGTGCCGATATCGCGCCTTTCGGACGGGTGAAATGGACGAAAGGGAACCGAGAGCCCGCCATTTTCTCATTTCCAGTTTCCAGCGTTAATTCGTTTCGCTGCATTAATTATAGCTTCGTCCTAATTATTCGATTAGCCGCGTCAAGGGGCAGTTTGAAATAGATGAGACGTTATATTATCGCGATTCAATCTCGGAGCACCTTCTTGCTTCAGGAATATAGGACACTCGGTGATAAATTGGAATTTTAAGCGTAAGAATGACTGTACGAGTTTGTTTTATATATACAGGTAACCCTCCTATAACACGGTAGATAGGTTCCCAGAAAATACCGTGTTGTATGAAACCCAGAATAAGTACGAAAAGGGGGGTTACGTTTCGAAAATTTACTAAAAACAAATTTTTCGTTAACTCTACATGAACAACTTAATTTTTATTAAAAATATAAACGTATGTACAACACAAAGCAAAACAAAAATATTATTTTAAGTTAACGAAACTTCAATTTAATAAATTTCTTCCTCGTCAAAGGTTTTTGCGTAATATCTAATTTGTTAGAGCGAAACCGTGTTATAGGATGCCGTGTTGTAGGAGGGTTCCCGCAATTTATGAATCGTGTTATAGTGAAACCGTGTTATAGGAGGGTTATCTGTATATCTGTTTTAATCCTCGTGTCATAGATGCGACGATAAAAATTGGAAGAACAAAATGGAAGCGTTGGAGGATTGACGTAAATTTGACCGAAATTGCGTCATTTTATGTCCACAACTTGGGATTTTTAAAGCTACGATAATAAATTTGTATAAATAACGAAATTGGAAAAGGGACACCGAGGGGTAATGAAATTTTCGAATTTCTGAGAATTTGGAACATTCGCGGTCGTTTTATTGAAATTATACCGTCACCACGGTTGAAAATGATTAAAAATCGTATGAAAAACGAGGTATAATCAAAATTGTGACAAAATTATGTCCGCAACTCGAGTTTCCAAACAGTGGCAAAAGAAATTTCGAATTTCTCGTAAATTTCTCGATCTGTGTATTTCCGTGAAATATATTTCTACACAACACTGAGTGATAAAGGAATTTTGGGAAATTGTAATTTTCAGGTATAAGAATGATTATCCGAGTTCGTTTTATACATAGCTGTATTAATCCTCGTGTCATGGATGCGACGATAAAAATTAGAAGAACAAAATGGAAGCGTTGGAGGATTGACGTAAATTTGACCGAAATTGCGTCATCTTATGTCCACAATTCGAGATTTTTAAAGCTACGATAATAAATTTGTATAAATAACGAAATTGAAAAAGGGGCACCAAGGTATAATGAAATTTCCCCGATAGAAAATAATTAAAAATCGTATAAAAGACGAAATATAATCGAAATTGTGACGAAATTATGTTTGCAACTCGAGTTTCCAAACAGTGTCAAAAGAAATTTCGAATTTCTCGTAAATTTCTCGATCTTTATATTTCTATGAACCACATTTCTATACTTTTATATTTTCCTATCTCTGTAAGCTATATTTTTATAAATTATTTTCGTATATTTCCATATTTCCTCATTTCAAAATTTCTATAAACTGTATCTTCGTATTTCCATATCTACATTTATATATTCCTATCTTTTCCTTTTCCTGCAAACTATATTTCCGTGTATCGGTATTTCGACAAACCGAATATATTCCGAAATGTCTAGAAACAACAAAATCAAAAACTAAGATTAACAGCGAATAGAATACAAGACTATACTTCACTCTTCCAAAAGCAAAATACTCGATATCCAAATTTATTTTCTCGCTCGAAAATAATTTCTAATAAATATTCTAGGATCAATAAAATCAAAAAATAAGATCGACAGCGAATAGAATACAAGACTATACTTCACTCTTCGAAAAACAAAATACTCGATATCCAAATTTATTTTCTCGCTCGAAAATAATTTCTAATAAATATTCTAGGAACAATAAAATCAAAAAATAAGATCGACAGCGAATAGAATACAAGACTATACTTCACTCTTCGAAAAGCAAAATACTCGATATCCAAATTTATTTTCTCGCTCGAAAATAATTTCTAATAAATATTCTAGAAACAATAAAATCAAAAAATAAGATCGACAGCGAATAGAATACAAGACTATACTTCACTCTTCGAAAAGCAAAATACTCGATATCCAAATTTATTTTCTCGCTCGAAAATAATTTCTAATAAATATTCTAGAAACAATAAAATCAAAAAATAAGATCGACAGCGAATAGAATACAAGACTATACTTCACTCTTCGAAAAGCAAAATACTCGATATCCAAATTTATTTTCTCGCTCGAAAATAATTTCTAATAAATATTCTAGAAACAATAAAATCAAAAAATAAGATCGACAGCGAATAGAATACAAGACTATACTTCACTCTTCCAAAAACAAAATAATCGATATCCAAATTTATTTTCTCGCTCGAAAATAATTTCTAATAAATATTCTAGGAACAATAAAATCAAAAAATAAGATGGACAGCGAATAGAATACAAGACTATACTTCACTCTTCGAAAAGCAAAATACTCGATATACAAATTTATTTTCTCGCTCAAAAATTTCTAATAAATATTTATACCGTAATTGCGATTATTTGAGAAATTCGCGAAAAGGAGATAAAAATTCGGCAAATTATTTACAGACGATATGCAACAAACCTCTGGTTGCGCCTCATCGAGGCCAACGAGTTGTAGCGCCTCCTCGAGATTGAATCCGTCGGGAAGACCCAAGGTGTCGTTATTGAGAAGACCTTCGACGTTAGCGCTTCCTAAGAGGCCACTTCCGAGTAGGTCCGTAGGAAAATCATTCTCGAGCTCTAAAGTATCGGTTAATCCCAAAGAATCATCGGTTAATCCTGCCAAAGGGTGATTGTCTAAATCCAACGACGCGTCTCTGAGGAGCTGCTCGTCTTCCTCGGCCCTGGTGCTTCCTCTTTCACCCTGATGACCCGAATTGTGGATGTATTCACCTGTAACACACACACGTCCGATTCTTATTCCACTCCGTCTTTTCTCCAAGAAACCGAATCACGAATCGGAAAATGAAAAAGTTAAAAATAAAAACGGAATTACTCGTGTCTCGACCTATCTAATAGCGACTTTTGTTGTCTGACTCACGGAAGGAACGCACACGCGAGCAAATTATCGGCTGATGAAACATAAGTAAGCGTAAACAGAATCGCGTGCCCGAGTACGAGTCTTAACGATAGTTTAAAAGTATTTAATTGTTCCTAAGATTGCATACCACGGGATGGATCGCGTTCCACGAGTATTCCGCGTCGATCACTGTAATTCGTTTACTATTGTTCGATTCGGTAGCATAAGCGAAAAACGAGAACGGAGACAGGTTTTCGAGGGAAAATGATAAATAATAAAGATTAGGAGAGGTTAAAACATATACTCTGTGCGTGGAACACGACGCCATGGTCGTCCCCATGGATCTCGTGTCACCGTTCGCAACCACGATCAAACTGCTTAGCGATTTTTCACAACGCGTAAGGTCATGTCTGGCAGAAGATCGTCTTCTTCCTGTTTGCACCGTATCCCGGGGAATATTTATCACGCAAAGTGCACGAAATCACACGCGAGGACGCGAATTTATTCGATCGTTTCCGTCCCAGGAAAGGTGTTCCGATCGATCAGGCGGTTGGAAGATTTGCCAAGTTTCTATGAAAAGTGTCTAACGACGCGTTATGCTCGGCCGGAGACGCGGCGTTGGTGCACGTTGAAAAAAGATTATAAATAAAAGCCGTTCTAGGATGATTCGAGCAAACCGGATTCACTGTGACTCGACTAAAACCGTTCGTCTGGAGGCGCAGCACTCGAAAACTGACTGTAGCCGACGGACAGGTAAAATTTCGGAGGAGGGACAGGAAAGGAAAAAACGTAACTAATTGAGGGACAAAGGGGTGTTGTTGAAGATCCACCTGCTGGTTTGAACAACCCCCGAACGTTCCCGCCCCACGGCCAATCGCGCGTCCCCGTTTCTACCCTACTTCATCCCTTACGCACGCTCCGAACGCGACCCGGCTCCTGCTCGCCTTGCCGTCGCGACGCGTCCATCTCCAAACGCGCCACGCAACATCCGCTATATGTACCACCTTTCCTATTTCAATTTTTCCAGCTTTCGTTTGTAAGGAAAATTAAGAGACTCGGGGAATTTTAATATCGACGCGCCGATTTGGGACGAAAAATTTTCTACGCTTCGAAAATTTGCGAAAAAGGAATAAAGATTCTTTGTATCGTTTATCTACGGTCAGTGCAATTTTCCTTTTTTAATTTTTTGATATTTAGTTGTTAAAGAGAATTAACAAATTTGGGGAATTTTAATATCGGCGTGTCGATTGGGACGAAAAATTTTCGAAGCTTTGAAAATTTGTGAAAAAGGAATAAAGATTCCTTGTATCGTTTATCTACGGTCAATGCAATTTCCCTTTTTTAATTTTTTGATATTTAGTTGTTAAAGAGAATTAACAAATTTGGGGAATTTTAATATCGGAGTGTCGATTGGGACGAAAAATTTTCGAAGCTTTGAAAATTTGTGAAAAAGGAATAAAGATTCTTTTTATAGTTTATCTACGATCAGTGCAATTTTTCTTTTTTAACTTTTTGATATTCAGGTGTTAAGGAGAATTAAGAGATTTGGGAAATTTTAATATCGAAGTATCGATTGGGACGAAAAATTTTCGAAATTTGGAAAAATTGTGAGAAAGGAATAGAAATTCTTTATATAGTTTATCTACGATCAGTGCAATTTTTCTTTCCTTTTTTAATTTTTTGATATTTAGTTGTTAAAGAGAATTAACAAATTTGGGGAATTTTAATATCGGAGTGTCGATTGGGACGAAAAATTTTCGAAGCTTTGAAAATTTGTGAAAAAGGAATAAAGATTCTTTTTATCGTTTATCTACGATCAGTGCAATTTTTCTTCTTCAACTTTTTGATATCTAGTTGTTAAAGAAAATTAAGAGTCTCGTGGCGTTTTAATATCGACGTGTCAATTAGGGCGAACAAATTTTCCAAGTTTTGAAAATCTGTGAAAAAGCAGTAAAGATTCTTTGTATCATTTATCTAGGACGGATGTGACTTTTCTACTTCAACTTTTCGATATTTAGTTATTAAGGGGAATTTTAATATCGGCATGACGATTGGGACGAAAAATTTTTAAAATTTTTAAATTTTGTGAAAAAGGAATAAAGATTCTTTATATCGTTTATCCACGATTGGTGAGACTTTTCGTCTTCGATTTTTTTCTATATATTCAGTTACTAAGTAGAATTAAGAAATTTAAGAAATTTTAATATCGTTATATCGTCGCATCGACTAGAACGAAGTATTTCGTAAATTTCAAAAATCTGCGAAAAGGGAATGGAGATTCTTTATATTATTCACTTACGATGGATGCGACTTTTCTTCTCCAAATTTTTCTATATTTAGTTGTTAAGAAGAATTAAGAGATTTGGGGAATTTTAATATCAATGTATTGATTGGGACGTAAAAATTTTCCAAATTTGGAAAATCTGTGAAAGAGCAATAAAGATTCTTTATATTATTTATCTACAATGGGTACATCTTCTTTTTATTAATTTTTTCTACATATGTTTGATAAGCAGAATTAAGTGATTCATTGAATTTTAGAATCGTCGTATTGGTTGAAAAGAAAAGGTAATTTTAAAGAATAATATTATAATTTTTGAAGAATATTTACGGAAAAAGATGGAGACTCTTCGTACTATTTATCTGCGACGTGTAAATATTTTTATAAATCTTTTCAATTTACTTATTCAGAAGATTTAAGAGATACGTTGAAGTTTAGTACCATTGTATCGACTGAAACAGAAATGTAATTTGCGAAAAAGAAATAGAAGCAGCCCGCACAATTTATCTGCAACGCGTAAATCTCTTTCCATTAATCTCTCCGATTCTTAAAAATAATTAAAAGTTTCGTTAAATTTTGATATCATCGTATCTATTGCAGTAGAAAAATTAATCTCGCGTGTGATTTTGTAATTTTCGCAGAAAATCTGTGAAGAAGATGTACTTACAAACACTGTCTAGCATTTACCACGTGTAAATACTTCCCTATTAATCTTTTCCAGTTAAGTATAAAAAAGAATAAACAATATTTTTACATTTTAGTATCGATTAAACTAGAAAAACAAATCTCATGAGTGATATACTAATTTAAAAAATTTACAATAAACGAAATTGCTCTCTAAAACTGGCAACACGTCATCTACGATACGTAAACGTTTTCCTATAGATTTTTTCGATTTAATTATTAAACAAAATTAAAGAAAGATTTATTACATATTTTAATATCGACGTATTACTTAAAATAGAAAAGAATATGCTAAGAGTTATTTCACGATTTTTCTCCAAGATTTATAGATTTATTTATAAAAGATTTAAAGATTTATTTATAAAAGATTTAAAGATTTATTTATAAAAGAAATTGTCCTCTATGACGGATTAAGTATCATCTATGATACAATGCATACAATGCATGCAATGCATACGACGTTTTGTATCAGTCAATTCGATTTAGTTATCAAGACGAATTAAAAATTATTTTAAATTTAACATCGCGTCGATTTGAATAGGAAAGTAAATCTCGAGGATGATTTCATGCCTCCTGTATGTAAACGGAATAATTTTCCAAGATGCGTAACGCATCGCTTATGACGCGTACATCTTTTCCTGGTAATCTCTTCTATTGTATTTACTCATTAGAAGGATTAAAAGTTTCGATCAATTTTAGCATCCTTGTATCGATTAAAATAGAAAAGCCGATCTCGAGAGCGATTTCATGACTTTCGAAGATGAACTGGAAAAGAAATAGAAACTTTCCACTGTATTTACGATGTATAAATCTTTCTCTATTAATCTCTTTGACTTATTTACCAAGAGCTGAAAACGTGATTAAATTTCAATCTCGCGGTTTTCAATTAATTTTAATAAAATTTTTAAATAAATTTCGAAAATAATTTCTATCGATTAATACCGAATCTAGCATGACCGACCAAACTTTTCAAGAACATTTTTAAACTTTTCGTTTCAAATTTTGTATTTAATATTATCGTTTTTGTCAAGCGACTTTATGATTTTTCTTATACCGATCATTTCATTGGCTATGGAAAATTTAATATGAAATTCTGGCACTGTGATTGAATTATGCGACACTGTGCATTGTAAAATTATTCAATGTCAATTGACTGTTATATGCCTATTTTATTCGCATTAAAATTACACGAAATTTTACAATTTATACGAATTTTGCGCATATTAACTCTTTGGGGCAGGCTGGGATTAAAAGTGTCCCACCTTTTTGATGCACCGTATTGCATGGTGGGACATTTTTAGTCCCACCTGGAAATATTGCAATAGCTGCATGCGCATAGGTTTATATTTCGTCTTATTTACGTAAAGCAGTTGGTAATACCTTCGACAAATATTATAAACGTATTCGCTCGTGTTGGCAACGTTCAACATGCCAGTACAGGTGCATCGATTGTTGCAAGCGGAAGGTTTATCGCGACAATCTTTTTTCCTGGTTTTATGTGAAAAATCGTGAAAGTAAGTTAATTTTTATAAAAATTAGTTCTATACCAATTTTGTTTCATTTAAAACGCAATAAAATTTCTATGCAACATGGGTCTATTTCATTATCTGAAATCCTGTGCCGCAAAGAGTTAAGATACGATAAATACAATTATTTGAATTATGTGATTTAACACGGAAAATTCGCAATGAGTTGAACTCACAATTGCGGTATAAGGGGTTGAAACGGAAAACCAAATTTCGAAAGTGGTTTCAAGTTTATTTATCGAAGATCTGTAAAAGGAACGACAGCTAAATGCGAGGCACCGTATATGACGCGTACAACTTGCTAATAATCGCTTTCGTTTAATTTCCAGCAGAAATTAAAAGCACTGTTACAGTCTTCGTTGCATTTCAATCTCGTCGAAAT